GGGGGGGGGGGGGGGGGGGGGGGGGGGGGTATGGATTTGGGCAGATTCCCTCTGCCCCTCAGCCCAAGCTCTGCCTGCTTGCACAGATGGAATTTGCACAGATAAAGGCACAGCCCATTGTGAGGATATCTGACTCTGCAACAGAAAGTGGTTAAGCTGCAAAGAAAAACAGCAAATGGAGAATGTTGTGAAAACTTCACTAAAACAAGTGGGGGGAATCACCCCTGTCCCCACTCCAACATGTGCTGTCACTGTCTATGTTATATAGGGTGTATCAGACCACTGGGGTTTCTTTTCTACCACTAGTTCAGATAAATCAGTTGGGAATCCAAGTATGTGATGATTTAATGAGAGAAAATCTGACAATTGATGCAGCCCTGGCTGGAGGGAGCACCCAAAAATGGGGAAAAGATGAACGGCCACCAGAACAAATCCTGCAACACCATGGACCAGACCCTGGGAACCCTGATGAATTCACATCAGGTACCAGAGAAACCATTTCTCATTTCAATGGCATAATTAGATTACAGGATGTCACTGAAATAATAACCAACCAGACAGCTCCAGCTCCTGACCTTCCTCCCAGCCAATCCACTCAGATGAGGAACACAACATTTCACCATGGGATGGGATCAGATTATCTATTAGCAGGAAGCAGAGTTTGTGGAAAAGTAAATTACTCAAGATGCTGTCTGCAAATAGATGACAACATAAAAGTGATGAAATAGATCACAAAGGAAATAAGAAATCAGCTCATGTACCAGTCCAAACATGGAAATTATGTGAATGGGACATGTTTTTGTGGTTCCCTGGCAGATTGTGGGTTGAACAAATGCCAGACAGAACTGTCCCCCTCCAAAATTACACCCTAAAAATGTCATAATTCAGGGATTTTCTGGAATTCCTCCTAGAAAAAATGTGCTAGGAGCTGCCAAATTGAATGAAAGGGGGATTGAGCAGGAGGGGCCTGGAACCTCCAAACCCAAGTACAGAGGGAGGGAGGGTTGGGGATTGGTGGGACGACTCGGAAGGGGCAGAAAAATGGGGGGAAAAAAGGGACCTGGGACCTTTAAAGAGTGGGGGAATGGTCTGTGAAACCAAAATTGAGTTGGGAGGGGTCTGTGGACTGGGGGAACAATGAGAAAGGGGGGAAGAGGAGAGGGAAAAGTGGAGTTGGGATAGAAGAAACGAGGTTCCCCGTCCCGCAGCACTCGATCCCTGGGGCGATTCCCTGCAGCCTGGCAGGGGGCAGATCCGCATGGGGCGTCCCCAAGCCCCCTGCCCATCCCAGCGTGTCCATCTCGCTGGTGCCCTCGAGCTCCCAGCCCGGCCCCGGCCACCTGCTCTGCTCCCTGATGGATTTCTCCCCTGCCCACATCCAGCTGAGCTGCTCCCAGGGCCAGCAGCAGCTCTCGGGCCACGTGCTGGCCACTGCCGTGCTTCCCAGCGGGGACTGGAGCCAGCAGCTCCTGGTGCTGCTGGAAACCGCCCCCGGCAATGCGGGCTCAGCTCCAGCTGCCAGGTGGAGCACGTCAGCCTGGAGCACCCCCTGAGCCGGCACTGGGGCACGGCCCGGCCCCCACAGCGCCGGCAGGGGCTGGCAGGACACGGAGGGGATTTGGGGCTCCTGGGATTAACTGGCAGCCCCTCATTGAGAAACCACTTCCCCCTGTCCTACCTCTCCTTATCCCCCTCTCCCAGCCCTTTCCCACCGCCTCCCGGCCCCGCTCCACTCACCCCAGAGCTCCTCGCCAGCAGCCGAGAGATGGAGGAGGAGGGGAAGGAGGAGGAGCGGGAGGAAGAGGAGGGGGAGAGGAGGAGCAGGAACTGCAAGAGGAGCAGCAGAGGAGGCCCCAGGTGTGTCCGTCGCTCTCTGGATCTGCAGCCCCTTCGCGCCGAGAACATCGGGCCCCGCATCCCGCAGGTGACCGGGAAGGGGAGCGCCACCCCGAATATCTTGGGCGGTCCTGGCAGGGCTTTTTTGAAGGGTGGAGGGATATTTGGAGCTCACCCGAAGTATCTTTGGGGGTCCCTGTTTCTTTTTTTCGGGACGGGGCGGGCGGAGCGATGTTTGGATCTTGCAGGACTCCAAAGTGGACCCGAAATCCCTCTGGGTGGGGAAACACTCTGGGAGGTGTTTTTTTTGGGATGTCCCGGTGGTGGCTGCCGGCAGAGTCCCGGCAGTGGGTGGGGGATGGAGGTCCCCGAAGCCACGTGGCGATCGCCCGGTACCAGCAGGGGGGAGAGGAGCAGCCTTGAGACTGGGGAAATCGAAAAGGGTGGAGCCCCAGGAGTCCCGGAGCCTGAAATGGAGGCCTGGAGAAGGGAGAACCCGAGAGCCGGGAATGAGGGGAGCCTGGAGAAGGGATGAGCCTGGAGAGGGGGAACCCCTGGGACACCAAAGTGGGGTCCCCAGAGAGAGGAGACCACTAGGACCCCCAGCAACCCAGAGCAGAGAGTCAGGGAAGGAGGGACCCCTGGGACCTCAGAACTCTCGGCGTCCTGTGTCATAGTGAGGTTTAGATGTCTTGTCCAGTTCGGCCAGGTCAAGTGTGGTGCAATAAATCGGGATGGGTGTGTGAGAAATGAACTTGTAAAAATTCGTAGAAATCTAAATAAATGTATATAACAATAATGATATAAAATATAAAGTACAGTATGACACACAAGCCCTTCCCAGATCTAGCCACGAATTCCCACTCAAAGGATAACGATCCTAGCCGGCGCCCATCAACAAAAACGAATAGACAGGACACGGCCCATCAAGCTGACAGGAAAAAAACTCCTCAAACTGACAAGGACAGGCTCGGTGACCATCAACGGGGAAGAATAGACAGGACACGAAACATCAAGCCAAAAACGGAGAGGCTCCGACGAGATATTCATCACCGGACCTGAACACCCCGCCTTGCAGGCTACCGTTGGGGGAAGCCATCAGGTAAACAAAAGGAAAAATCCAGCCGAAATATCCATCGGCTCCAACCCGGATCCAGCCATCCCATCCGGATGGCCTGAACCACAATGAAATCAAGAGCCACTCAGAATTTCTTTACATATGAGGAGACTCGGTCCGGACGTCCATTCGACTCTATTCTCCAACGCCAGGAAATCAATTCATACGACAATCAAGGACTGTTGATGAATGGTGCCTGCCTGGAATTTGGCCTCAAGGCTAAAAATCCCTATAAAAACCCCGGACAGTTTACCCTCCTTCGTGGATTTGGGAACACCTATACCTTTGGGTATAGACCCCTGTCCACCCAGCGCTGCGCTGTTTGTTTTATTGTGGTTTTCCTCATTGTTTATTTTTTATAGAAATTGTTTTATAATAAATTGTTTTTATTTAACCCAAATCTGCCTTTGCATTTATAACAGGTGTGCTGGAGTGCCCAAAGATAGATTTTAATGTTCACTGGGACTACATGGTCCGAGGTGCTGCATCCAAAAACCAGCGGATGCGGTTAACCTAGCAATACATAGGGGTACTTTTAGGGCAAGGGTCCACTTGCGAACGTGGGCCAGGGACATGACCTATTATGGAATGATCCCAGTAGTATCCTAATTTCCATCGTTTCAGTATCCCACCTCCCATGGTCTTGGGCTTATTTCCCCTCTGTCAGGAACCTGGTCCAAGGTGTGATCTATCCCAGCTGATTCGGTTCCCACAATCCCTTACTGCAGCTCCAGAGAGGGGGACCCATGGGACCCTCAGCAGCCCAGAAATGGGGGACTCCCAGAATCCCAAAGTGGGGAGATCAAAGCAGGGGACCTCTGGGATTCCCTGGAAACCTGGAGCAGGCAGAGACCCTGCAGAGGAGGGTCCTCCAATATATGCAGGAGCCACAGCATCCAGGACAAGGGGGACCCCCAGAACCCCACAGTGGAGACACCAGAGAGGGGGAACCTCAGGGAGGGATTTTTTTTCCTCTGAGTCTTGATGTCTTGGAGGTTTTCATGGACACAAGATACCTGGTGACTTCTAGAGATGGACTTGGGAAGGAGGAATCCCCAACCCTAGGTGCTCACCCATTGTTTTTGCACCCAAAACAGGACTTCTCATTCCCAAGCCTCGGATAAATGGAGGAGGAGGAGGAGGCAGTGAGGAAGATGCTCTGGGACCCCCAGGCAGGTGAGGAGAAAGTCTTTTCTGGGCTATCTCCCAGCCCAGCATCACCCTCGGCTGCAGGACAATGCTGGTGCTGATGCTATCATGACAGGGACGGATTGCACGGATCTCCTTCCCCTTCCCTCTGGCATGGAGGCAAATCCCATGACTCTTATTCAATTTCCTTGTTCCTTTCCTTTTCCCTCTTCTTCCTTCCTTCCTCTACTTGTCTCTTCTTGTTTCTTATTCTTCTTGTTCCTTCCTTTTCCTTCTCCCTTCTTGTTCCTTCATCTTCCTTCTTGCCTTTTTCTTCTTGTCCTTTCCTCTCCTTCTTCATTCTCTACCCTCCTTCCTATCCTTGTTCTTTCCTTCTTCCTTCCATGTTCCTTCCCCCTGTCTCAGTTTTAGGAGACAGGTGTCTGCTAGGGAGGGCAGGAGCCTCCCCTGGAATGAAAATGTAGACCCCCTCCCTCTGAATTATTATAATTCTGAAATTTAGGGGCTCTCAGGCAGAGATCTGGGGATAGGAATAACAGTTCTTTACTAATATTTATAACAAGGCAAACAAACAATAACTACAGCATTAGCAAGAAAACAGAACCAGGGAGCCCATGACAGCCTTCTCGGCTGAGACGGGAAGGGATGGAGGAAAGGCTTTGTTTCACAAACCCCCTCGGGCAGTCAGTCCTGGTGCTCCTGCAGGGCTCTGAGGAACAGTCGGCTGGAACAGCAGGGATGAGCAGAGATCCTGGGCCAGTGGCTGAGGTGAATCAGCAGCTCAGTGGTGGCTGGCACTGCAGGACAGGGGGTGAGAGGCCACCAACCAAGAGGGGAGAAGGAGAAGCAGCAGCAGCTCCGTCTGGGTGATGGCGAAATTCCCTTCTCCCCACCGCAACAGCTCTGCGCCCAAAGTGTTCTTCTCCTCCGAAGCTGAAGAAAAGCCCACCCTCCTTTTTCCTGGCCCCCTTCCCCCCCGGGCCTGGCCGAACTCTTTGTGTTTTCTCAAGCACTCACCAAGTACCCGCAGTCAGGTTTTCCCCACAACTAATGGGTAAGAATTCCACAGTGAGCCAGAACTAAAAAGAGGACACCTAACCCCCAATACCCCCCTTGTCCTTCATCCCCCAGGCACTGAGCTGCAGATGGAGGCCAGGGAGGACAAATCCCTGCAGCAGAACCTCGTGGAAGAGGCCATTTTGAGCGGCTCCAAGGGGCAGGGATCCAATGGGGAGGAAGTCCCAAAGGGATCCCCCACAGGGAAGGGCTCCAAACCCATCCCAGAGTGCTCTGAGGAGAAAAGATCTCCCCTGTGCTTCATCCAGAGATCCAACCTGGTGGTCCACGAGCAGCTTCACGCCGGGGAGAAGCCCTACAGGTGCTTGGAATGTGGGAAGAGCTTCAGCTGCAGCTCCCACCTCATCCCCCACATATGCCACCATACCTGCAAATGTCTGAATGTGGGAAGAGCTTCAGCCTGAGCTGCAACGTGATCCAGCATCAGAAGATTCACACCCAGGAATGGCTCTACAGGTGCTTCAGGTGTGGCAAGAGCTTCTGCCATACATCCAGCCTCATCGACCACCAGAAGACCCACAGTGAGGAACAGCCCTACGAGTGTCCTGAGTGTGGGAAGGGGTTTTGGACCAGGTCAGATCTCCTCATGCATCAGAAAACACACACGGAGGAGAGGCCCTTCCTCTGCCCTGACTACAGGAAGGGTTTCAAACGTAACTCCACTCTCACCGTCCACCAGCGCATCTACACCAGGGAGAGGCCCTATGACTGTCCTGAGTATAAGAAGAGCTTCCATCAGAGCTCTGCCTTAACTTCACACAAATGGACTCACCTGTAAGGGAAGCCCTGCGAGTGCCCCAAGTGCAGGAAGAGTTTTGTGTGCTTTTCCAACTCCATCCCCCATGGATGGAACCTATCATGGATAATCTCCAATGACTCCTGTTGGGCAGAGACCTGATGACCCCCATTCTGGGTGATCCCCATTGAGAAGACACCTGGCTGGTGATCTCCATGTCCTCCTGGTTCCCCATAGGCACCTGGATGAAGGCAGGGGCAGGAACTTCCACCAGGACTCAGAATGACATCAGGAATTCATTCGGAAGAGTGGATTTGTTTACTTTAGATCCCAAAAAGTCTCATCTCTTCCATCCAAGCCTTTCTTCTTGTGGCATCAAGCAATGTTGGATGGTCTTGGAGGTTTTTTCCAACCTCAATAATTACAAGATTCTGATTCTCATTGGCCATGAGTGTCTTCCACAGCCAAATGCTGATGGATTGGGGCAAAGACCAAGATCTGGGTCTTGGAAAACCTGGAAACCCCTCTAACAGAGGCTCTTCCATGCACTGAACCCAACCCCATGGATGTTCTCATGATGCTGACAAGTAACTCCTTTTATTTTGAGCTTGATTTTATTTGATCCATTTTCATCCCTCAAACATCTAAAATTGTCATAAAAATAAAGACATTGAACAAAGGCATCTAAACCAAATGATTTTACTGTCACTGGGGGAAAAAATTATGGCTTGGGAGGATTTGGGGTGTTTGTAGTAATTGGAGGGGAATTTTCCCCAAAACTGGGGCCACACAGGCCAGGATCACAGAATCACAGAATTAACCAGGTTGGAAAAGACCTTTGAGATCATCAAGTCCAACCTATGACCCAACACTGCCCTGTCACCCTGACCATGGCACTAGGTGCCACATCCAGTCTTAAACAGTTCCAGGGACAGTGACTCCACCACCTCCCCGGGCAACCCATTGCAATTCCCAATCGCCCTTTCTGGGAAGAACTTCTTCCTAATGTCCAGCCTAAACCTCCTCTGTGCAGTTGCAGGCTGCGTCCTCTTGTCCTGTGGCTGTTCCCTGGGAGCAGAGCCCAGTCCCACCTGGCTGCCCCCTCCTGTCAGGGACTTGTAAAGAGTGATGAGGTCTCCCCTGAGGCTCCTACGGGATAAACACCCCCAGCTCCCTCAGCTGCTCCTCACAGGATTTGTGCTCCAGACCCTTCTCTGGACATCCTCAAGCATCTCAAAATCCTTCCTAAATTTGGGGGCCAGGACTGGACACTGAACTGGGAGCAACTGGGATCATAGTTGGGCCAAGTGGCATCATAGAAGGTGTGACTGGCTTCATAATGGAAGTGACTGGGGCCATACTGGGTTCTTACTGAAAGGGACAGAGCGTGAAAGAAACCATATAGGGGATGACTGGGAGCCACTGGGACCATGATGGGGGCAACTGTGTTCCTGCTGGGTGTGATTTGGAACACACTGGGAGTGATCAGGATCATACAGGGGATGACTGGGAACCAATGGTGAGGTGGCAGCAGAGCTCGGAGGCGGCCCCGGCCATCGCAGGTGGGAGCCGCGCTCGGTTCTGCGGGGGCTCGGGGCTCGCTGCGGGCCCGGGAGGGGGCGGCAGGGGGCTGTGGCGGGTGGCTTGTGCCGTGGCCGGCCCGTGTTGGCCCTGGGCTGAGGGCGCTGCGGGAGCGGCTGCCCGCGGTCTCCTTGCCGCTGGGGCCTCGGCAGGAGGCGGTGGCGGAGCAGCGCTGGCTCGTCCCGCTTCGTGTCGGGAGGCCGGAGGTGGCTGCGCTGGGCCCGGGGCTGGGCGGGAAAATTCCCGGCGCCAGAGGTTTGTGTGGCCAAAGGAGATAGAGATCACATCCCATGGTGAAATATTGCATTCCTCATTTCAATGGGTTGTTTGGGAAGACGGTTGGGAGATGGATCTGTCTGGTTGGTTATTATTTCAGTGACAGCTTATAATCTAATTACACCATTGAAATGATAAATGGATTCTCTGTCTCCTGATATGAATTCGTTAGGGTTCCCAGGAGCTGGTCCATGGTGTTGCAAGATTTGTTCATCTTTTCCCCATTTTTGGGTGCTCCCTCCAGCCAGGGCTGCATCAATTGTCAGATTTTCTCTAATTAAATCATCACATACTTGGATTCCCAACTGATTTCTCTGAACTTTTGGTAGAAAAGAAACCCCAGTGGTCTGATACACCCTATATAACATAGACAGTGACAGCACATGTTGGAGTAGGGACAGGGATGATTCCCCCCCAACTTGTTTTACTGAAGTTTTCACAGCGTTCTCCATTTTCTGTTTTCCTTTGCAGCTTAACCACTTTCTGTTGCAGAGTCAGATATCCTCACAATGGGCTGTGCCTTTATCTGTGCAAATTCCATCTGTGCAAGCAGGCAGAGCTTGGGCTGAGGGGCAGAGGGAATCAGCCCAATTCCTCCTGCAGGCAGGAAGCCCCTGGTCCATTGTGCAGGCTTTGTCCCAGCGGTGTTAATTTGCATTTCAATAAGTCCTCTGCTGGCTGCCTCGAATTAAGCTACTCTTCCAGGGCAGCCATCTGGTGACTCACATGTGGACCCACAGAAGCCAGGGTTTTTATTTTTTGTTTTGTTTGTTTGTTTCTTTATTTTGTTTTGTTATGTTCAGTTTTGTTTGATTTTGTTTGGTTTTGAGTTTTTTTGAACAGTATTCTATTAACTGTTTACCAGTTAACGGGTCAACTTTAAAGGTCTTCTAGTTTTGTAATAACAACCTAGACGTGAAAAATATAAAACCCACACCAAAATTTTGCAATCTTAACAGCCATGCAAACGTATGTACAAAAAGAATCCAAAGCAAAGAAGATTTTTTTCTACTTCATCTTCTAAGAATAAAAATTGATTCTCACAACCCTGTCCCAAACCTAACTGACAATATAAAAGTAGGATTATTAAGAAAACACATTCTAATGGTATAATCTAATTCCAGGCAGGGCAGAGTGTGAGTGTAATTGAGAGCCAGAGTGGAATTGTCCCGGTGCCTTCCCCAGCAGCTGTGGCGAGGGCAGGCACAGAAAGGCCTGAAGCTGCAAGAGTGAGAGCAAGGATTGTCCCGCAGTGGCTGGAGATGCCAAAGGAGGGTGCCCAGGCCGAGGATTTCAGCAGAGGATCTGTGGGCAGGCCCAGGGGCTTCCCCCGCTGGGGAGCCCTGGCTGCTGCTGCGTTGCCTTCAGTGCAGGCTCAGGGGCGGCCTCCTATGGTCCTCCTGCAGCGGGGAAGTCCAAATCTCCAGGGCTTCAGAGCCCTTGAGCCGAGGCTGAGAGGTCCCCCTGTGTTCAGCTGTGCTGGGGCTGTTTCTGTGCTCGGGGACACTTGGAATGGGCCATGTCACTTGGCCACCAGAGCTGTCAGCAGGACCCAATGTCCAGGTTGGATGATGTGAACAGCAAAGTCCCAAGGCAGGGTCTTTGCCAGCTGAGCTTCCTGAGGGAGAGATTGCTCAAGAGACAGGCTGCTTTGAATCTACATCGCTGTTCTCCACCCTGCACTAAGTGGAGATTTACCAGGGTAAGAAATTCCAAAGATTAATTCCAGGGAAGAGAATTGAATATCTGCCCTAGGTCTGGCTCTTACTCTTGCCAAAGCTAATGGCAAAAGCCATACCCAGGGCATCTTGGTTTCTATCACTGTTAGTGCTCAGGAACACATAACCATGGAATGATTATATGAAGGTGCTTTATTGAAGAGCTCTGGGTGTCAGGGGTACACATACCCAAATCTGACCCAACTTGGTTTTGAGTTGCACATGTTTTTATACTCTTATTTTTATATAACTTACATATTAATTATTAAACTTCCATTGTTCTATTGCATGCATTGTTTTCACCCAAGCATGGATTTCCTGTGATCCCCTCTCAACCCCCCAACATTGTTTCTCATGTTCTTTAAACAATAATTATATCTAATCATATCTAACAATTTTATCATTTATCATCTACTGACTACACAGGTGCAGTTTCACCTGATCTTTAGCAAGCACAAGGCCTAACATTTCCCAGGGCCTACTTTTCCCAGGGCTTTCCAAACCTAACTTTCTTTCTAAGTCCCCAAATTTTCTAAGATTTCAAAACCTTTTACTATCATTCCCCCCTTTGAAAGCATTTTCACTTCACTATAAGTGCAAATGTTTTCACTTGATACAGTCCTTTGTTTCTGAGTTTATACTTGATGTTCTTCGAGTCCTTGATTGATGTAAACGTTGTCCTGCATGTTGTCATGAACTGGAGAACCAGAAGATGATGGGGGTGGGTCTCACATCAGTGCCTTTATTATTTTCTGGTTTCAGGACGTTTTCTTCTGTATTTCTCCTTTTAAGATGCTGTAAACTAACTAAATTGCTAAGAATACAATTACTAAGATTATCACACTCTCAATGATAGATTTAATCCATGAACTTACATTCCACCCTAACTCTGAAGATTTTGCCTAACCAACTTGTAGTCAAATCCTTTTGCTTCTCCTGTGCTTCATGCTCTATTTGTTACAACTGATTGATGTCATATTCTACATCTGCTGTTACATTTGGGATGTGGATGCAGCAGTAATCAGTCCATCTCTTTTAAAAACCCACACACTCCATGCTCTTTCAGGAGTAGTAAGTCTAAGCCAAATTGATTTTGTAAAGTCATTTTTGTGGTGGCTTTTAATTGTACATTTAGTTCTTTAAACCTTTCCCAGGTCACTCTTGCCAATTTATCTACCTGACCTGTAAGTTTGTACAACATTTCTTTATTCTGATAGTTTGCTATACGACCAAGCAAAGACTCTAGGGCCCACACAAATTTCACTCTACTAGAGGGTTCTTGCCAAATGTAATCTTGATTCTATTCCTATCTTTATCCTTCCTAGCTGTACCTGTGTCTAGCCACTGAGTTGTTTTTCAAGCAGATCTCACATTTTGACATTACTGATTTTGCCATTGTTAGCATCCATACCAAGATTAATTTTTGTTTTAGCAATTTTACCAATGCCTCTGCACCCGAATTACATTTGTTATGTCTAATTTGTAGAACTTCTCTCATTATCAAGGGGGTTAACACTATTTGTCTTTGTACAGTTACATACCACCCTTCAGAATTCTTTTGTGCATTTAGCAAACGTCCCAATTTTTCGTTTTCTACTGAGTATTTTGGTTTTGGAGGCAAATTGAATTGAGATACATTAGTTTTTAAAGGTATCAATGCCATTGCAGTTTGCACTTCTCGAGCAGCTTGTCGGGCTGTCCAGTCTGCTTTCCGATTCCCCACATAAATTTTGGAGCTTCCTGATTGTTGAGCTTTGCAGTGCATGATTGCTACTTGCTCCGGCTTTTGTACTGCTTTTATTAATTGCAGGACTGCATCTTGATGTTTAATGTGTGTGCCTTGAGAAGACAGCAGTCTTCTTTCTTTCCACAGTGCTCTGTGTACATGCACTACTCCAAAAGCATACTTTGAGTCAGTCCATATGTTTACCCTTTTCCCTTCACTTAATTCTAGTGTTCTGGTTAAGGCAACCAGTTTTGCCTTCTGGGCAGATGTATTTGGTGATAATGCTTTTGCCTCCACTACTGTACTGACTGTTGTTACCACATATCCAGCGTATCTGGTCCCGTTCTCCACAAAGCTGCTTCCATCTGTGAATAGCTCTCACTCTGGTTGCTCCAGTGGGATGTCTTTCAGGTCTTCTCTTGCTGAATAGGTGTACTCTATTACTTCTACACAGTCGTGCTCTAATGGGCCTTCTTTAGTTGTGGTACCTAGGAACAAAGCTGGATTCAAGAGGTTAGTTGTCTTTAGTGTGACATCATCCTGCCCAGTCAGGATTACCTGGAATTTCATCATCCTGCTTGGAGATAGCCAATGGCGCCCCTTTTGTTCTAAAACAGTGGTCACCATGTGTGGCACATGGACATCTATGTGTCTACCCATCGTGAGTTTCCTGCCTTCTTGTATCAGCATCACAGTGGCTGCAACTGCCCTCAGGCATGAAGGCCATCCGACACTCACGTTGTCAAGTTGTTTGGAAAAGCAGCCTACCAGCTTTTTCCAGCTTCCCAAATGTTAGGTCAGCACTCCCAGTGCTGGGTGTGATCTTTCATGCACAAACAGCTGAAAATCTTTGAATAAATCAGGCAGTCTTAATGCTGGAGCTGTTGTCAATGCCTCCTTCAGTTTGAGGAAGGCTTCCTTCTGTGGTTTGCCCCAGGTAAGTGGTTGTGTCTTCTGGGCTTCATACAGGGGTTTTGCAATTAGTCCATAGTCCGTGATCCACAGGCAGCACCGCTCTGTCATCCCAAGGAAAACTTGTAGCTCATGTAGGTTCTGGGGTTCTGGAATAGCACAAATAGCTTGAATATGATTAGTACCCAGCTTACATTGCCCTTGTGAGATTTCACATTCCAGGTAAATCACAGTCTGTTGGGCAATTTGTGCCTTTTCTTTAGACACCTTATATCTTCCCATTCCCAGCTGATTTAAAATTTCAATTGTTACCTTTCTGCAGGTTGGTTTCTCTTCTGTAGCTGTCAGT